ATCATAGAGTCACAGAATCCTCAGAGTTAGAAGGGACATTTAAAGGCCATCTACAGCTCAGCCAGCTGCTCAGAGTGTGGTCCAGTCGGTCCTCGAAAGTCTCCAGGAAGCAAAGCCTGTGAAGGTTGGAGTTGCAGAGTCACTGTCCTTGGAGTTTTCAAGAAATGTGGAGATGTCACACTGAGGGACATGGTTAGTGGGCATAATGGAGATGGGCAGATAGTTGGACTAGATCTTAGAGGTCTTTTCCAACTGTAAAGATTCAATTATTTATTGATGGATTTGGGATCCAAATCCCATTCCTGAGGTGTGTGCAGTACTGTTTCTCCCCTTGTGCTTTTATACTGGATTTCAAAACTTGAAAAATTCCATTTCACCATTCTGTGTCTTTTGGGTATGTTGAATGCCCACTCTGTGCAGCTGGTCTTCTATCCAAGGTGGATTTATGAAGCCCTGACACTTCTGATTGCTGACGTTTAAATCCACTGGAAATTTTAGGATCGATGGATCCAAACCACGCTTTTATCCCTAAGCTTATTTAATGAAGGAACTCCTCTTTTCATTCCTCCTTCTGGCTGCTGTTAGAATACTGGGGGAAACCTTAAGAAGTCTCCTTAATGTTGCAAGTAGAAAAATATCTTCAAATCTTTCTTAACTGAATTTTAAATACATTTCTGCACTCTCACTCAATAAGGTTAAATACATTACACGTGCTGCAAAACTTTGCTGTCAGGAGGTATCAGCTACTTCTTAAACAAAACCACTGCCCTTTAAAATGATTGAGTTTCTCTCTGTGTGTCTTTCCCATCTTTCTGCTATTGACATTTCCTTTCCAGTGTGGCTTTTTAATTGCCATTATATGGCTACACACAAAAATATTTTCATTTTGATAAACTCATCTGGCTGCATAATTGTTCTCCAATCCCCTGGAGTGAGATGGCAATGCTCATTTCTTCAGCTGAATTGCAGCAGTGAGAAGCCACACGACAGCAGCTGGGTTGCATCATTTGCCTTGAACTCCTTCATTCTCCCTCACGTACACACTGCATCCAGAGAAACCCTTCATGGGAGTTGTTGCTCCTGAACTGGAGCTGAATGGGGCAAAGTGAAGAGGAACTTCCTGCTCAGAATGGAATTTGTGCTGCCAGGAAGGATTTTTATTGTACCTCACAGTAAACAATTAATGAAAAGGTGGCTTAATGAAACACACATCGAAGGCACCTACAAGCCTACAGAGTCTCCTACATGGTGGTGGTGGGTTGACAGTCGGACTAGATGATCTTTGTGGTCATTTCCAGCCTTAATGATTCAATGATTCTCACAATGATGCCCACAAGCTCAGAAACCCTGGACACACCAGAACCAGTTTGTGCTAGAACCGGGCAAGTGCGTTAAGACTGCTTTCTACCTTGAGGTACATGATGAGGGCAGAAACCCGGGGCTCATGGAAGTCCAAGCATGACATGAGCATGCAGAACTGCCAAGGACATAGAGAAGACAGTCCTTGCCAATGACGCCTCGTCCTTGCCAGTGATGTCCAACAATAGAGCCTCATTTTCTCCTCTCCATTGACCTGTCTTGAGATAGCAGCCTTGATACAGTTTCAGGTATTCTCCCACACAGTGATCTTGTCTCAGTCCCACTTTCTCATAGAGTTACCAGGTATCTCTTTTGGATGGAAGAGGATGACACAAACCAAGGGGAAGGTGGTGGGGAAAAGGGAAGAGAGCAAGCAGCTGAAGTGTCCATGCTGATTCTTTTTGATCCTAAGTGGAAACCTGCCCTGGGTCAGTGCCACCAGATCAGCCATGTGCCAGCCAGCTCCTGAATCCCCAGTACTCACTGCTGGCAGATGAGAGCTGAAACTCACTTTGGGATAGAAAAGCAGCGCAGGAGTCAGTGCTTTACTCCTGACCCCACTACAGCACCTGCAGCAAAGAACTCAGACTCAGCTGACAAGAGGAACTGAACTCCTGGACACTATTCCTTATAAATAGGTTTTAAAGCCAGAGGGGACCTTTCCTGTCTACTTAACCTTCTGTAATATAGATGTCTGGGAATTTCCTCCAGAGGGACTTGCTCTTGGAGAAGGGCTTGCTGTTTAAGTGAGACACCTTTTTGCAAGACAGCCAGTCTTAATTTGAAACCCTCACACAATAGACATTCCACAGCATCTTTGTTCTAGTGACTAATTACTCTCCCTGTCAAGCATGAATAATTTGAATTGTAGATTTATTTCTTCCTACATACTAAGTATATTTCAATAGCCTGATGGTTGGAATTCTTCTGACCTAAAACCTAGCAGTCGTTATTTGGCCAGATGAGTCTTAAATTCTCCAAGAACTGCAAAGGCACAGTATTGAGAAAATGATGATTCGTTGTTTTGTAGTTTAGTCACGGGAAAGGGAAAAATTAGAAAAAAGACAAAAATTAAACATTAGGCAACTAAACTGAAAACAAACAATCACAATTTGCAACAACTTAAGGGAGCCTACTGCCAGGGATGCTGCTGACTGCAATTAACCTTGTTTTTTCTTCCCCACACTCAAATAGCAGTTCCTGAAATCCGGCATATAAAACTACCCAATGCAGTGCTTTCTTCACAGGGTTAGCAAAGAGTTGCCCCATGCGTGGATAATATGGGCAAGACCTTTTTGGAAAGGGACATAAAACTACTTAGCTCCCATCCACTCAACTTGGACTGAGGGTCTGCTCAGCTGCACTTGGCACTCCAACAGATCCCCAGAGAGAAGACCTACGCAGTGGGAACATGGCTAAGACAAAAGTTAGTCAAGACTTGACCTGAAAGAGGTTGGTATTTTGCTACAGTTTTAATAAGGATTCCAAAATAGAACGCTGAGGCAAAAATAAGGCAAAGTTATAGAAAAAGGCTCAGATGGAAGCAGGAGGAAACGGTACAGAGTACATACTGAAAGAAAAACAGCAATTCTGGAGTCCACAGTCATCATGTTTGTAGTAAGAATTTTAACTGAAGTGGTGGAAGAGTGAGAAAAGGACAGAGAAAAAGGAAAAGTGATCCCTGCAGCTACGTGAATTGATTGCAACAGTACACAAGGCTTTTAAACAGATTTTGAGGGATTAATTTTCAAGACAGAAATGGAACAAAGCAGCAGAAATGGGACAAGGACAGAGCATACAGAACAAACAGATTTCTTGCTAAAAATCACTTGATTTCTAGTTCGTGAATTGAAGGAAATCACATTAATCCAACCTCACTGAACTGTTCAGATGGCACCATGTGGAAAGCTATAGACTTTTTTCAAGTCTGTACAGCTGACAGAGGAAAAACACAGCAGGACATCAATCAGGAACAACACCTGCATTTACAGAGCGCATAGGCAGGAAGGACTGTACAGTTCTTTGAGCAGTGGGCTCAGGTCTGCATTACTTATGTTCTCTACATTGTGCAAGGAAGTAATTAGCTCAGGCACTGCATCTTCTCCTACCTACCCCCAAAGTGAAAGGAATACAGCACCAGCAGTGCATATGGATACACTGCCTGAAGGGTTAATTCGCTTTTGCTAATGCAGGCTGCAGAGAGGAAAGGGGTTTGAGGAAGCTTTTGTTCCTGACAACTTCCTTTCCATGGCAAAGTTTACTGTCCAGAGCTTAAAAATAAAACAGGCACTGCTGACATCTTACAATTTGGTTTTTAAAATTTTTTTTTTAAAAAAGGCAAAAAAAAAAAAAAAAAAAGAACACATCGTTTTAGTGACTGGAAATGTGTACAAAGTTACATATTTCAAAGAATTCACTCATTAAAGAAACTGCCTTCAAAAGAGTTTCTCTAATGCAGAGGCATGGGACCTACAAATTCTTTCACAACTGATACTGCTTGTTTCAAACACTCTGTATAGCACTGGGAGAGCCAGCCATCCTCTGACACACCAGTGCTATAGGAGCCAGAGGTGCCATAGGAGCCAAACCCTCACCAGAAAAGATGTGGTAGAAGAGTCTTGAGTGCCAGGGATGCCCCCACAATTCTGCAAGGTAAAAAACTAAATGCTCCAATCACACTGTGTCAAAATCTAAGGCCATCTTGGGCAAACCCAACAGTTATCTCAAAGCTGTCAGAGAATAGGCAGTTCCCACACATCTTTAAATTAAATGATCCCCATCTTGTTTTGTAGTAATAGCTTTTTAAGGAGTGCATTTATATATCTCTATTAAAAAAAATACTACTGTGAAATTTACATGAACACACACAACTTTAGCAACACCATGCTTTCAGTGGAACATGGCTATTAGCTGCTTGCAATTTATATACAAAGCTGATTAATAAGAAGGGCTGCTACAGGGAGCCAAGCTTTCTTTCCAGGTTATCCCCTGACTGAAACAAGGATTTCCTATGTTTTATCTTCCATTATCTTTTATCTTTGAGTTGGCAAGATTGAAAACTGTGATTAGAACACCAGGGTGCAGTGGCTTGTAAACATTTTGTCTTAGTATTATATTAAAATCCAATGCATTCTCACTACCTGCTCTGACTCTCTGCTCATGGATCAGTGAATTGATACAATCTTCTGTGAGCTCATCGGAGAAATGAACATTTTAGCCAATTAAAATATTGTAGATAAGTCCATTCCTGGTGTCAAGCCACTGACTATGGAGCAACACCAAACATGAACTTGATCCATCATAGAACTGCAGGCAAATTTTTCCCAGGATATCAGAATTTCAGTTCCACACTAGAAAAACAATTTATGTTTTGCATGGTCCCCACTCTGCAGATGGGGCACGTGTTCAGAGGGAAGCAGTTTGCCAAGCTCAAAGGCCAAGACAGCAAAGCAGCCCAATAGAGCCCCTGATTCCTGATTCATGAGGCTCATGCTGGAGTGGTTGGATAGCAATGCTCACCTCTCTCCTGTCTCCTAAAACTCTCAACCCCCTTCAAGAAGTATGGGAAGATTATACGATACTGCATGGAAGGAAAAGGCACATAGGAAACTATCTAAAGCAAGTGCATCACGGATATTAAAAAAAAAAAAAAAAAAAATTAAAAAAATCAAAGGCTAGAATAACTCAAGACAGGAAAAAAAACTCTTCCTGTTCTTGTTGAAGCTCTTCTTAACTCCTCCCTCCTCTTCACCAGCTGCAGTCCTGAGTAATGAACGTCTGCCACATCTGAATGGCAGCTTCCTCAGACCCTTTCCTTGTGCTTCACGTTGGCCAGCTTGACTGTCTCCTGCTCAGAAGCAGGTGGAGAAGGCTCATCATGACATCCAATCATCAGCTGGTAGACTATCACTCCAGCAATGGCCCCAAGGAAAGGAGCAACAATTGGAACCCACCACCACTGCTTACCAGTCCTGGAAAACAAAAGGGAAATGCACATGGTTAAGAATTGCAGCTTAAGCATTAGGATACTTCTGTTTCAGTCTGGAATAATGCAAAATCTGATTATTTGCAAACATCCCCATTGACATGCAAGACAATAGCAACCCTATATCCACAGCAACATCCAAGGCAGTTGTTGCCTCTTGCTGCAAGTTCTGGGGACAAGCACTTCAGAGCAGCTGTTTCCAGGACTTCTAGAACTCTCTCTCCACCAAGAAATTAGAGAAACCATCACTGTCTGAGCTAGGCACTTTCACTTCCCTCCTACTGCCTGCAGGAAAGTACTCCCTTATAGCACATAGCCTCTACTACTCATAGTTCTGAGTTTTCTCCAGGTTCAACAAAATATAATAAAGGACCTGCACTTCCTTCCATTAAAAAAAAAGTGGATAAGATCATGTTCAAGGTGCACCTGAGCTTCTCATCTCTGAGATTTCCTCCCCAAGTTCATTAATTTGCTGGAAACTGTTGTAGCTCTATGATTTTTTAAGAAATCAAAACAGAGCAAACTGTGTCTTGTAAAGAGGTTTACACATTCCAAAGACACCATAAGGGTGCTAAGATTCTCTCTGGCACCACAGGTACCACCTACTTGAATCTGTAACTTTTTTCCCCCTTGCACAGAGTTTTCATCGGCAAGCTCTTACCAGAACACTTCAGTACCCCAGCCAGCAATGGCTGTGAAGAGACGAGGCCCAAAGTCTCTGGCAGGGTTGACAGCATAGCCAGAGTTGAAGCCCATGGAAGTTCCAATAACAAGGACGACAAAGCCAACTGTGAAAGCTTCCAGCCCCGTGGGAACAGGATTGTTGTAAGGATCCACGATAGCCAAGACACAAACAATCAGGGAAGCAGTGCCAATGAACTGTGAAAGGAAAAATCAGAAAGAAGAATTTAATCCAGACTGATCTTTTAACCAAGTTACTTAACTCTTCTGAAGTTCCATGGTTTTAGGACTCATTTTCTAAAGTGGAAAAGCTACAATAAAAACATCTCATGGCACTGTCATACAGAATTAGACTGAGTGCCCAGTTGGGAAAGGGATGATGGAACACGCTCCTCCTAGCAGCTGATAGGTTCCTTTGTGCCCACACCTCTTGCCTGCACACAGAAGAGCTATCAGTAACTGCGTAAGCAGCCAAATCAGCTGAAGACATCTTCCAGAACATGCTTCCAAGCTGCGATGCATTCTCTGACTAAATGAGAGGGCCAGAACAAACCCAAATTCTCTCTCTTGAAGTTCTGGCACCCTCCAAGCTCCTCCTTACCTGATCAAAGAATCCATTCACAACATTCAGATGCTGAGATGGGTAGGTGGCAAAGATACCAGCTGTGGCATTATGTCCTGTTACATACAGGTGGTTGGAGCCAAAAGCCCAGATGGCATCTGGAGGTGGAGAAAAAAGCACCGGTCAGAGCCAGTAAATACTAATCTGAATTCTAATTCCCCCTACAAGGTGCCTAAATGCCTGTGGTGCTACAGAAGTCAAAATCTCAGATTTTGTTCAGAACAATCTGAACAATGCTCTCAGACTAAATTTGAGTCGTCCTGTGTTGGGCCAGGAGATGGACTCAGTGATTCTTCTGTCTCCCTTCCAACTCGGGATTTTTTATGATTCCATACTGCAGTAAACTCATTATTACAGAGGAGTTGTATCTTCATACCCATTGACACTCTCCTCATGCCATTCCATCAGGAACACCAACTAGCTTTAGCATTCATTATATCCTGAACATTGCTAAGTGCTGATTACTTTGCTTGTTTAAGCTACAGAATTACAGCAGCACTGCTTTGTCTGGAGTTAGCAGTATTAAACATTTTCCTGATCAGAACAGAGTGATCAGTTCTTATCTCCTGCTGTAATAAGGAGCACAGTGAAAAGAGGAATACATTAATGAGTAACTGGATTTCCAGGTTGTTTTTCAAGATGTAGAATCAGCCTGACAAGGGCTGCCAAAGTTGCTAGAAGTCTGACTGTCTCACAGTAGTATTTAGACTATGCAGAAAAAAATCCAAGTGAAGTCTTTACTTATTACACAAAAAACATGAAGATAAAATGACTCTGGAGAAATGCACAGATGTAAAGTTTCTATCACTGCTATTGTTTCATCAACACTTCTGGGAGATATGCTGTAATCTAGACAGCAAAGACCCATGCACGTCATACTTTCTGCACCTACCGTGGTAGAGCCCAAAGACTATGCCAGCTCCTAGGAAAGCTCCAAGTGTCTGGGCCAGGGCATAAACTGGTAGCTTGATCCAGGGCTCTCGGGCCAAGAAGCACATGGCGAAAGTGACAGCTGGGTTCAGGTGTCCACCTGCAGAAAGACAGAAGGTTTATGCACTTTTATGGACAGAACTTGAGCGCAAGAGATGAGCCATGGCACAATAGTCTCCACATGGGAGAAGTGCCACACAGGGAAAGTGCAGCCATGTAGGCCCACACAAGTATCACAAGTTCTCACAAGTGAAATCCAGCCCACACACAGGGACACAACATACCTGACACCTGGCCTGCGATCAAAATGCCAAGCATCACAGCAAAGCCAAAGGCGAGATTGACAGTCAGAAAACCTCCATGGGTCCCTCTGCTGAGCACGATCTGCGCAACAGAGCCACAGCCGAAGAGCTGAAAGACAAGAACAGACTGAAATTACCCTCTGTGATTTACACCAGGGCCAGCTGCTGACCGACACTCTTGATTGCTCTGCTTACACCTGCATGGACCGTTGCAGCATACTCATAACTCGAAGCTTCAGCATTCAGCTGCAGAAAAGTCACAAGGAAAGCCTGCCTCCTGGCTGGTAAACTGAATCCATGACCAAAAGAAAGTTAAAGATACATCAGCTCACACTTCACATCTCCAGGAGACTGGACAACTTTGTCAAACATCCAAATGTACGGTGGCTAAAGGTAGACGAGAAGGATCATTGCTCAGATAAGGGACCTAAACTCCTTGCTGTTAAAAAGGGCTAATAATTGTCTGACACAGTAGCACATAGATTGGCAGGGCACAGTTTTGCTACTGCGTGGATATAAAGACATGGCTGAAGAAGGCTATCGTTCACCTTGGCATTCAGGGACATTCCTTTCAAGCCATGGCTGAGGGATTGAGTTTGCCTTCCTGAGCTGAGATACCTATGCTTGTCTCATCCCCAAGGCTTGCTCCCTGCCATGGGCAATTTGAGCACAGCCCACACCACCTCAACACAATGAGTTCCTTCCTATGGCAACGTCATGTAGGAAGAGATCAGGGCAACAAAACTGTTCTGTCTCTGCAACACCAACAAGCATCAAGCATTCTGGGTAACAACCTATTTATGTTGGGTGATAAGTAGTGTTGCCTAATTGCTAAAGGAAGTATGTGCTCATTCTGAAAGACGTTAGCTCTCAGTGGGCAATTCTTCCTTTCCCAATCACATTCAAAAGCCATACTTCCTATGCTCACTCCTATCAACCCAGACCAGTTTCCCCTGGCTGTTCGGCTCATCACTCATCTAGATGGATGCCTCCTGCCTAGCCATGTCCCTCCACTACCCACCATATATTTTAAGGAGCCCTAGTCCTAATCTTCTGTATGCTTTTATCTTCCACTAGCTTAACCTGAACAGATTCTCAGTGTACACCAGGGATTATCTCATCACTAGATACAGAGAGCATCCTTAAACTAGGACAGGGATAACATCTTGCTCAAGATCCTCAAGGCTAGTGCCTAGAACTTGTGCCTGTGTCTGTCCACCTATCAAGATGTTCTGCTTCTGCAAATTCCATTACTCCAAGATTACTCAACTGCCACAAAGGCAATATCTGCTGTTAGGGGATAAACCACCAAATAGGCATCAGGTAGGCAGGAGTGGATCTCTTCACCTCTTCTGCCAATGCTGGACATACCTGTTGAGCAACACACAATACAGTTGAAGGGCAAAGCCAAAACACAGCTAGTTCATCCCCTCAGCGACTGATGAATTACTAAGAAAACACTGCACTTAATCTGCTGGAAAAGGAGTGGCCAAGTAGGCTGCAGGCTGACTCATGAGGTGGACACTCTGTACTCAGGTACCTCTTGGCACAGGACCCTCTGTTGGAAGAACAAAGAAACCTGTAGAACTCGTTAGTTAGCAAAGTGATATCCAATACTGCTTTCTACTGGGTACATAGCAGCCCATTCCTTGTCCTCATACCAAGACTCTCACTTGGAAAACCACAGCAGAGGACACACATGGGCGAGGGCAGAAAAGATTAGTTGTTGTTCAACAAACAGAGCTATCGTTACCAGCTTTGTCCAAACCATGAGGAAAGCATAGCTACAAGCGAGCAAAGAAAAACTTGCTAATGACCAGGGTGACATCTGTTCCTTCCCAGAGGAGTCTCAGCACCCATTAGGCAGAGTTTTGGACAGAGTACTTGGCTATGGTGTTTGTCTCTCTACAGCCATAAAGCGTATCAGTCTGACCAGGAGGTGAGCCCAGAAAAAGCTGCAGAAGGCAGCTGAGTTTGGTAGGGTTGGCCTCAGTTTACTGTAAACTGTAGTAATACAATCACAGAATGGCTTGGGTTGGAAGGGACCTTAAAGATCACCTAATTCCAGTCTCTTGCCGTGGGTAAGGTTGCTACCCACTAGACCAAGCTTATTCCCATTGATGATGGAATCTGTGTTATTCACTCTGAAGGAACTCGCAGTTCTGCAGGTGGATGGTGGTTGGTTCATCAGACACACATACCTTTTGGTCACAGAAACCACAAGTTCTCCATTCCACTATCTGTGACCACACTTATTCACAAAGGTCTTTTCTCAAACTGGAGGAATTCCAGCTCTGGTGTTTCCCAAGAGGCTATTCTCCATTCTCCTCTCTGCCATCCTACACCTAGCAAGAGCTCCCCAGCTTTTTCTCAGAAGAGAGTCTATGAGCCATGCAAAAACACCCTGAAGCCACTCCACAGGAACATTACAATTACTTATCAGATATGCCCTAAGTTCTTGTTTGGCTTAATGCAGCACAACAGTAGAAAAAAATGACCCTAAGTAGATTAAAATAAAAAAGTAAGGTAATATTTAGGGACAAATTTGAGGTTTGATATGCTTATGTGCAATTCCATCCCACACCAATGGAGTCCTTTAAGCATTCCCATACATGACATCCAAATCATGCTCAACCCTGCTCTTGTGACAAACGGTTTTACATTAGAGCATCTGATACAAGCGGCAGCACTGGGTGGCAGCCAACAAAACAATTGCACATGCTAGGTGTAGGGGCAGCTTTGATACATGTACCAGGTGGTTCTGTTGTCCGGAGGGATACAGTTCCAATCCTTGCTTATGCAGATGCAAAATCTACAGCTACTATCATCAGATAAGTGTAAAATATATGATAGCCTGTAGCAAGATTTATTTTGCACCTTTAGTCATTTTGTTTTATGACTGATACAGTCATCTTGGATGACCTTCACATGCAGTGAGGAGAAATGGCAGCTTATGGAATGGAGCCCAGCCTCCCAACATGGGTATCTAAATCAAGACAAATGGCTTGATTTAGGGTCTCATTTTCCCCACTGATGTAGTCAGCACTCAGGTCAACCAACTCTGAACTTTCCTGTCTACATTTAGTCAGAACAAATCCCATCAACTCAGTAACACTCTCCTTTATCTTTCAAGACCCCTAAAAAGACAGCAGTGACAGATATGTTAGAGCCTGGATGACATACCTGAAGCATGCCACGTGTCACTGTGATCTACCATGCTGCTCATGGGGACACAGTTCAAAGTTCACCATCCTCTGTGACAGATTTTGGCATGACCCACTTTTCCAAATCTTTGCACTGCCAGGTGCCTATTGTTTGGCTGTGGTGAATGACCACATAAGTGACATAAGTGACATAAAACTTACGATCGCGCCATTTCCAATTCCACTCTTTGTTAGCTTTCCCTCCAATTTCTTCTCTCAGGCCATACAAGACAGGATACCCTGACCATTCTATTTTCTTAAGTCTTCGTTTTCCACTACTTACAGTGTTCAGGAGCATCTAGCTTGAGTTGCAAGGCAAGGAAGATTATATAAAATACAGCAGCATTTATTCAATTTAAATCCATGGACCTAAGCTCATGCAATGGATATGAGTGGTGCACACCCAAGGAAATATGATCCTTCATTCTTGGTTTTAATAATCTGCTGCCAACACATAGTTTTTACATTACCAGAAAAACATCTCAACCAGCAAAAACTCAGGTGAGTCCCTCACAAGGCAGCATGCAGCCATCAGCTGTTTTATCCCCATGACCCATTAGAAAAGTGTTTTTTAAGTACTAATAAAATGATTGCAACAAGCCATTACTCAGACGTATTAAAGCTATTCTTCCAGGAGTTGATGTCGATGCACCATTAACCATGTTAATGGAAAACAGCTCCCTAATTTCATCTTACTGTCTCAAGCAGATCTAATGGTTCTCATGGCCAACAGGAAAGCTTCTCATCTCCTCTTTCCTCCTGAGCTGATCCAACTTGATAGACTGCAGAAAATCAATAGGAACATACCATGTTCTGCAGGATCAGTGAGTTGAACTGGTTCAGGGATGAAGGGGCTGGAAGACTCCAGGGGTCGAAAAAGGGAGGAGATAGCCAGAAGCATGTTACTGGGTGTAACTTCATACTCAGAAAAACTCAACCTCCCTGCGTCCAGGTTGTGGTGGAGATAGGCCATGTGGCTTTTCCACCCACAGCTTCCCTGGCAGAGAAGCCCTGGAGTTAGTCACAGCTCTTAGGAGGGGGCCTTGAAGGACACAAACATGGTGAAAGAGCTAATGAAGAACTAAGGGTTACTGGGTTCACGGACAAATCCTGACCAAAACAGTTCTGTTCATGAACTCAGGTGGAAGACAGCATGGCAGCCAGGTTCCCTCCCTCTCCTGCCCTCTTTCCCTTGTTGGTGCTCTTTCACACCTTCAACAAACACAAAAGGCCTGAATGGATTTGTTCTTGGATTTCAGACCAACTGATCCAAATCAAGACAGGAAAATTTCGTTGGCATAGCCCAGAAGGACTATTATTACCTGAGTTGCAACTTTACCCTTCAGCCTGCAAAAAACAAGCAAACAAGTGCATGGGAAGAGCGGCTCAGCCCCTGCTGCCCTCCGGGGGACAGCAAAGGTGACATAAGGGCAATCAGATCCTGGGGATAATCCAGGGGAAGAAACCCTGAGAGGAGCCCAGTGTGCATGGGCCTTCCTCAGCCTCAAAGCCCGTGCATCCAGGGGACCTGCCACAGGGGCAGTGCTAGGAGAAACATTTGTGCCTTTCTGCAGCACCTCTTGAACAAATGGGTGGGTCGTGAGTTAGAGGTTGCTAAACAGGAGAGAAATATCATATTCCACAGCCTTGCTGGACCTACCAGCTCCACCTACCAGCCAGTCTGGGTAGGAACAAAAGCCAGGCTCAGATGGTCTGTAATGTTACAGCTCCCTCTGCACCAAGAGCTGTCTTGGAGCCAAGTGAGGCAGCAGGAGTGGGAAGATAAGAGGGGCTGAGGGAAGCTACATCATATGTACACTGTGGGTTACAACAACACTTCAAAGAGCTCAGTGAAGAAAAAAAAAAAAAAAAAGCTGAGCAACCTACAGCAGAGTAGTTGGGCATTGGCGGGGAGATGTTATTTAGTTTGTTCCGTCCCCATGTGTACTGAAGCAAGAACACGTTCTGATATCCCTGATGTCCATCAGATAAGGAAGCCTTAGCTCTTGGAAAGACCTGGGCTTCACTCACAGTGTTGGGCATTGCTGGAGAAAGCTGTGTCCCATCAGGGCAAGTTGTAGTGCCTGAGCTTTCATCTCTGTGCGAAGGAGAAACCTCCCTGCTCCTGCACTGGAGCAACAGGGCTATAGTTTGGGTGGTTAACAAACAGCTCTGAGCTCTTCTGGTGGAAGAGGTGGTGGAGAGCAGCAGCACTGTCAGCAGTTAGACGAGGTTCCCCTTGCTTTGATCATCCCAGCCACCTTACTACGTTGGCTTCTGTGGTTAGCAGCACACTCAGATTCTAAAGAGTTCCCACCTGGCCGCAAAGGCAGGACAGCCTGGCTGAGAAGCAATTAGGAATTGTTTTGTTCCTTCCTCGTGCCTCAGCAGCAGTGAATCATAGTCTGACTTGGAAATCAGTTACAATAGCAAATTACTTCTGCAAACGTTAAAACTGAACAGGGACAGCTTTGGTATTTGCAGCCAGCAGACAAACAGTCCAAGCCTTTAAGGAAAGCATGGAGACCTGCTGGTGGAAATCTTGCTTTAGTGAGTTGCTACAGCAATAACACAAACAGCAAGTGAGTCGGAAAATGCCTTCAGTGTTTGTATTGCTTAACTATTTCCAGCAAGAGGTGCTTCTGACATGGATAAAAAGTTCAAACCTAACATGTCTGAAAGTGTATGTTGGAGGGAGAGGAAGGGGACTGCCATCTTCACTATCAAAGGAAACAGAAGAAGCGCTAAACTCTTGTAACAGGAGGGTTGCAAGCAACAGAGTGTAGCTCTGTTGTGCAAGGCACATAGCAAGAGCAACTCAACTGCAACTCCTTTGTGCTCTTCAAGGTTTGGCTGCTTAGTTGGATTATTTTTCTTACCTTAAACAAAAAGGCAGTATTTTCTCTTAGGCAACACTCTGCTGCCTTTATAACTCTTACCAGCAGGTAAGAACTGTGGGGTTCTGAAATGGCTTTGCTGTAGAAGAGCTTTAGAGAGCTGCCATTATGCAATTGAAGGGGAGGAGGGAAGAAGCTGAAGCCATTCCAATATCCACAGCGGGACAAGTTCTACATTACACAGTGCAATCTTAATAAGCTGCAAACCTTAAACATTGGACTCAGGAAGTTGACTTTGGTGTGAATGATACCAAGCCTTAAATCCATCTCCAATATTGCCTGGTTCTAAAGAAATTCATATGCAGCCAACACCATATCCCACAAAAGCAGCTTCATAGATTCCATTTTCTGAAGCCCACAAGAGGTGCTTGCTGGGCTCAGCTGCAGGTGAACGCTTTCACTCTCAGGTCAGCCTGCTGGGACTTCTGCAGGATAGAAATGTCCATTTTCCCTCCAGGCAGGATCAGGATCTCTATCCTGGGATTATCTGGCTTAATCCACTATCAAGGTCTTTTGATAAGGAAAAAGACAACTTCAAGGCTTTTGCTTCTGCTTTCAGGGCAATTGATGAAATAAAACAGATACAGAGGAATATGGGTGATAGGGAGCAATTATATATATATGTATTATATTTATTTTAATTTTTAATAAAGTACGTAGCTCCTTACTAGCAGAAGAACAGACTGGGACAGCTGCAAGGAACGAACTTCCCTCTCTGTATTCCATGCTAACAGCCAGGCAGGGTTTGACATGCGTGGGACTTCCCAGTTCTCCCTCTGCATCTGCTTCCATACAGCACAGAGGTCCCACTGCATAGGAGCTGAAGAGATCCTGGATCACTCTGGGACAACGTTGAGAGCACCAATAAAAGTAGCATTTTCTTTGTTCCCAGGCACCAGCTCAGGGAGTCCTGGACAAGGTGATGAAACTGCTTTTGCACACAAACATGAAAACAGAGCAAGCGTGGTGCTCCCTGAGGCTAATGGTGCCCACTCTCATTTTGGAGTCTGGATAAGCAGTGGGACCAAACCTTTCCTGGGGCTCTGAGCACATTCTGATTCCTCTCCACCTCAAAGCAGTGAGACTATAGGGGAAAATTGTGTCAGCAGAGAGAATAATTTATTTTTTAACCACAAGCCCTTCTGAAAGCTTGCACAGCTGAAGATGTGCCTCATTTCTCCAGTAGAACTAACAGAAGTAACCTGGCTAGCAGGAGACATTATCTTTCCCCCAAGCACTGCCTTGCATCTATCCTGAGACTCACTGCAGAGACCTTCTGCTGGTTGCATTCCCATCAGCTTCTTATCGCCTTTATCCCAAGTAACTCTTCCCTAGGAAACCAACAGAACACATCCTGAAAATCATCAGAGCTGGGTCATTCTGGAAATGAGGCCACTGCACTGTGCAGAGCTGCTTTCTTTTAGGAGTGGTAGCATTTTATCGTCATGTTTTTCCTCCTGTGTAAGACTCAATAGTCCCCTCTTCCCCATAAGTAAAGCACAAGACAGTGTGTCAGACCCCCAGGAGCACATGTGGCTTCATCAGCCTTCCTCTGCCCCTCAGTCCCTCAGTCCATCGGTGCTCTCCTCAGACAACCAGTTACAGAGGGCATAAACCCACAGTCACTCTGCCACATGGGTTTACACCACTTCAGATGAAGTTTCACCTGCACACTTTGGCTGTGCTACCACCAAATCATTGGGCATTGCATTTTTGGACACCCAAAATGAGATACCCCCACTGCAGTGTTGCTGCATTACTGTGTGATCCCTATCCTTCACTGCTGTCCTACCTGCTCAGATCAGGCTTCAGCGTCAAAGATATCTACCCCTATATCCTGTCCCTTTGGAAACCCAGCAGTACAGCAGGCAGCAGAGTTTTGTTGCAGTCATCATTTACAAATGATGTGTTTTGTAGTGGGAGTGACAGCCTTGCACTTCCACGCAGGCGGGATCAGCTGCCAGCACAGGCTGTCCTGGTGGCATGCAGCCCTGCTGATAAGACCCCTGGGGACCTGCAGCAGGCAGTAAAAAATTTTGCTGGAACAGCTTAAATTCTGCCTGTTTCTTCTTCACAGGATGCACAAAGAAAACAAAGTGAGGTTTTCACTGCCTGGATGATAACACTTGAACTATTTCAGTGCCAAGACAATACCCCAAGGCAGAGTGGGGAAGGAAGTTTTGCATGATCTCTAGCAAAACACTTGCTCCAGTGCTGAGTCTGCTCCCTGTACTTTGTGAACACACAGACACACTACAGCTCTGCAACACCTGCTGAGCTCTGCAGAGCCCACTCCTTGCCAGCAGCCCTAACGCTCACCCTACAGCACAAGGTTATCCTCTATGGATAACGGCTGTGCCAACAGGCAGGTTGCACGGGAGCTGGGCTCATTCACCTGCAATTCCCAGCAGCAGCACAGTGCCAGGACCAGCACAATCCCTGCACCAGGACGATGTCCCCACACCAGGACGACGTCCCCACGCCCCAGCACAGACTCACCACCAGGATCAGCGTCCCCAGGCACTCAGCCAGCGCTTGCCGCACCAACTTATTTCGGATCCTCAGGTGCTCCTCGATGGTAGCAAGCACGTCCTTTTGCCTCCCCATCGCAGCAGATGTGTCCTCCCAGTGGTGTCAGGGACCAGCAGTAGCTGACAAAGCGTCAGCAAGGTTTCTTCTCCAGCAGAGCAGCTCTTGCTTATAAATAAGTTTTGTGGTGCCTGACACACCCCCACCCAGTGACCACACCCCTTCCACACTATTCAAAACACTTTTTTCCTCCTCCTTTTCAGCATGAGTTGGGCTGGGCTGTTTTCTTCTTTGTCCTTATTGCCCATGTAGGTGAGCAAGAGACTTTCAGAAGGAGGAACTAAACGTGGCAGAGATATCCACCCAAACACAAATCCCACCAATTGCATGAGGCCGTGACTGCCTCTCCTCAGCTTTAACCAAGGTCCAAAAAGCCAAACCTGTGGACCAAACAACATCTTTACCCGTCTGTATTATCACACTACCCAGCTTTCAGCTTGCACTCCCTCTAAAGCCCACCGCAGCACAGCAGAGGCATTGCTGCCCACCAGTAGGATGAGACTGCCTGGATGAAAAGCTGTCCCCGTCTGTGGCCCTGGGGCTGTTGGCAGGATGTGTGCCACTTGTGGTGTCTGGTTTCTGTTAAGACAGCAGTAAAAATTCCCCAGGCTTGACGCAATGCAGTGGGTGAACGCACGGGATGGATGGACCCCCTTCCAAGATTTGTTCCTTGACTCCTCTGCAAAACCACAGATTCCCAGCCTCTCTTCTTTCCCTTGTTTAACCACCAGCTTTCCCGCTGGAAAAACAGAGTGGTGATAAATTGGCTCTTATTCCCCACAGGAGCCGCAGCCAGCCTGAGGAGTCAAGTCAGGAATGCAGCTAGCAATAACGTGCAAGGAATCAAATGCAGGGAAACATTTAGGTCCAAACACAACTGCAGGGACAGGAAACATCCCTCATTTCTTTGGGCTTTGGTCTGGTTTGCTTTAACCAACATCAGTGAGGTCCTCCAAACTGCAGCTGCAAGGGGTTTGCCAACCAAAGCCAAGGACAGCAACTTCTCCTTTCTCTCTCCTTTGCCTTTGTCTATTTCACTGTGCCTCACCCAAGGAATGGAGGGGCCACCACTCCACTTCATCCTGCACTTCTCACCTTCCTTTATACTCCCCTCTGTGCTTTAAATGCTGACATGGTTTATAAGACACCACAGCCAGAAATTAAGCTGTGGTGTCTTTCTTTTTTTTCTTTTGGCAGCTCCTAAGCTAAGATCTATGGCTTTTTTTGCCATTTGTTGAACTGTCAGTGGGGAGACAGTGTAGTGTAGGTTTATGGAGATTTACTTACACAAGGTCCCAGATCCTGTTCTTTTCCTGATGGCAGGGACAGTGCCACTGTGCTGGGAGCAAGCAGGAAGACCAGAGAGAGCCAACAGATGAACAACAGGGACATGGAGATGTGATGCTCTCCATATAAGCAGAAACACACTTCCCCTCCATGCAGCATCTGATCCTTACTGGCAACAAGTCATTTTCAAGACTACAGAAATGTTGTCGTGACTGGTGAAGGGAGAGGAGATGTCTGGGCTCCCAGGGCAATGACAAAAGATAGTGGTAACACCAGCATCAAAGCTGGTGCATGGAAAAGTCTAGACAGATGAGAGCCTGAGGAGCTGGGATGGAATGGGCATTCTGACATTATGCCACTATGCCTGACTCACTACCTGACCCTGAGCAAATCCTGTACATTTCCACACCTCAAAAACTTCTCCATCCATAAATTGGAGAGAGTGGCATTGGATTCCCTTCCCAGGGCGTTGTGGGCGTAACTCACTGCAGCCCAGGATCCGGCAACTTAAAATGAGCCATAGACTCTTATGCAATTGCTTTCCCAAGAGCCAGGTTATTAACTGAGAGCTTGAGGAAGAGATAGTGAGGCAATGCTGGAAGAAGTGGAAGATGTTTTCAGAAGCAATAATTAATCAAAGTGTGAATAAGACCTGAAAGGGGCCAATTCTGGAGATTTCATGCGCCAAAGCAGCAGCTTCCCTGCCACACGAGGACAGCTGGATTCCAGGGGCACAAAATCCAAGCACAGAACAACGTAAGAGGTGCTTTGGCAGCCACATATTTTTTAAAAAAGCCCATCTTGCTTGGTGACTGCTGGCAATCCTGCCTATGGCAGGGGGGTGGAAGTAGATGGTCTTTAAGGTCCCTTTCAGACTAAGCCATTCTATGATTCTATGATAAGGTATGGACACACTTCTTTGAATCAGTTGAAGTAAACAGAGAAGGATGCAGAAGTAAGACTGATGGCATAGAATATTCTGAGAGCTGCTGGCCATCCCCTAGTGTTGGGCATAGCAAGATGACCACACCATCAGCATTGCCTTGCATGGGCATTCAAGACCATACTTTCACAGCACAGGGATTTGAAAAAAAGGTAAATTTCCAAAACTCTGTCATGCCTGATCTCCTGTTGTTATTGCCACATGTTCTGAAGCCCTAGCAAGGGTCTTCCATTGTCAGTAATGGCATGATTCAAGCATCAAGTGAACTAGAGTGAGCCACCCTTTCTGATCCATACAGCGTCAAAAATCAAGGCACTGGAAGAGCAATATATTGCTTTAATTTGTGGAAAACGCTGATTACCCAGGGGAAAGCTCAAAGAGAAAAAGGAAACTCACCTCAGCAGGGAAATCAGTGACAACATTGTTCCACTGAGTTCACTACGTAAATCTCAGTCTTCCATTCCAGTATTTTCTATTGCCCAAAAGTATGGGAGTAGCTAAGATAAAGCACGATCTGAACCTATTCCTTCTGCTGCAGTCCAAGAGAAAACTTGTCCATAATGTTTGTCACTTTCTCACTCCCTTACTTTCTCTCTTGCAGAACCTTGCTACATGCCATGAGATACTCTCTGTGCTCAGGCTGTTATTTCTAGACGTGATCCAAAACCAACACATGAGTTCCACATTTGCTGTTTGTTTTGCGCTTGGCTCCTTCCCTCCTCACTCTGCCCCAGGGGAGAGACACAGGTGAAATTTTAAAGGAAGAACTCGATCCCTAGCTGCTTCCCTTTGGCTGTTTTCCTGTTGGCTCTACTGACACAGAATAAACTCAGACTTGTAAACTCTTTGACTTCTGCAAAGCGCTGAATCAGCCTCCAGCAGTGTAATTTTCTTATTAAAAATCGAGTTTAACAGAGTAACCTGACTTTTCCTTAATCGGCTGAATGGACAATCTCAGATCAATGGGTTTCACATCTTCTCCAAGCCAAATTCATTCATCCATTCCAGGATGTGTGGTGCAATCCAATAAGGAGAAAAGCATGAATCACACAAATCAGCAATGAGTCAGTCATTTGTGCTGGTGCCTGGGTCACCTGGTGCAAAAGCCGTTATGCCAAGAGAGGTCACTGGGTCAAAGTGTGACAGGATTCAGTGAAATCTGCCTTTGTAAGACACCTCTGACCACCTTCTTCCCAACTACCTGACAGCAATATGGTGACCTGTTCAAAAGATTTCCTTAAAAATAAAAATTATAGTTTGCCTAGCAAGGCAGGGTAGGAAGTGAGTGAGTAGGAAGTTTGTAAGGCTTATAAGTGATTCTAACTGGAGGGTTGAGTGCAATAGTTTCAACATCCTGACTTGGACCTCCAGGTTTACAGAGCCAGGTATTTGTTTCATGTCTGTGTCTACTTAGCACTCTCTCATGAGTTAGAAATCAGAGAAATTCCTCCAGGAAACAGTCTACAGAGCTGAAAGCTGTTGACAGCGTTTGTGTTTGGAGAAACTTAAGGTGAAACTGCAATTCTAATTTAGGTTCCTCAGACATCTAGGGGAGGTGTGGAAGCTGGAAAATTAGGTTTGGACTTTGAACTACGATATAACAATGAGAAAAATATTTAAAATTTGTGAAAAGTTCTTTTCATGAAGTCTAGAGCTGAGGGCCAGGTGGACCAAAATGTGACCTTGAACTGAGTCTCCGTACATCACATCATTCAGAAAAGTTTCATAGGATTGAATCCCCCAGAGTTACTTTGAGGAACATAGCCTGTTGCCAATGGCAGTTCCTTGTTGCTCTGATTTAACTCTCATCACAAAGCTGGTCCCTATTTACAAGGAATAAACATCGCTTATGACAAGCTGTTCCCACAGAGAAGCCATTTTCCAGAGTAAGTAGTTGCATACCAAAAACTACTGTACACTGGAAAAGTACCAATTGCTCCAGAAGAAAGCTTTTTAATAACACATCTGAAAGGAAAGCTATTACAAACAGGTCTCCCAAAATAGGGTGTTTAGCAGCACCTTCTCCCATATGCTACTCTGTGTAGACAGTCATTCTTCTGAGAGCTGCAGAGCCTGTCCAGGCTTGGAGACACTGCTACTGCTTAGCACCACAACATGAGAGTTCAAAGACCTTGAAGGAAGAAGACACAAAAATGGGATGAAACCCAGCCAGCTCCAAGTGTGAGTCAAGGACAATGACGAGAACTTTCCCTACGAGGTGAGAAAGTACGCAAGAATGAGGAGTGTGACTGCTTTCCCACCTAACCACAGGTAGCCCCAGCACAGACAGCCCTGGGGAGAGAAATGATCACTTCAGAAGCACAATACAACCGGATGTCACTTTGGACATTCATTCCATGTGCTCATTTCAGAAGCATCTATTTCTCTTTACTGGCTATAAAAGAAACCTAAAACAACTAGCCTAGCTGAAGGCAGATACACATAGTCAGTGTAACCCAGATGGGTGTCTCTAAGGAGGTGCAGACCTGCTAAAAGCAAAGTATTTATACCATAAATGGAAGAGGAATTTGCAATAGAAACAGGGAAGTTTCAGCACTGTGCCACCATGCACAGCAGGAGCTTCCCCTGTGCTATCATGTGTTGATCAAGGCACCTGTGCAAAGAAAGACAAACTGAAAGTGGAAGTGGTGCAATCAGAATCAGAAGGCCAAGAAGGTGAATTGAGCCTCCCCATCCCTGTATGAACTACAAGTGCTCAAATAAGGTAATGCAGCACATTCAAGGCCAAGACAAGACATACCACCGTTATTAAGTACATGAGGACACAAAAGAATTGTTTGTGTTGGCACAAGTGCAGCTAGGGATAAATTAGCCATGAATAATTTTAGACTGGAGAGTAGAAACCATAAGAGCATGGATGT